ATATGCATTCATTTATATATGTATATATATATTTTCGTTGTATATTATTATTATTGTGAATGAGCGGGAGCTTAAAAATAAACTGATTTGGTCTTGTCTGGAGAGTAGCGAATAAGTGCAAAGTACAATGGTCATGAAATATATTTACTGCATATACATATGTATATATGATGTTTTATCATACAATTTAATTTACCAGTTCCCTGAATAAACTACCTTGAGGTAGTCAAAAGTCAAAGAACAGTAATTAACAAGATTAAACTGCATTAGTTGAAAATTGAAATCAAAAAAATTAAAGTTTAATGAAATTAAATGATAATTAAATTATAATTACAGATAAAATGTTGGTAAAATAACTGCCGCTTATCGTTTACAGATCATTATTTATTGCCGTAGAAATTTGCATGAGAACTTCTATTACAGTTTATATAAAGATTTGATCTGTCCACATAAGGGAAATATGCTAATATTTTACTTCAATTAAAATATCGCGTAAATCAACACGGACTTGATTAAAGATCTTGAAGTGATTGCACAGAATTTTAATTCCCTAAGTGTATTTCGATCATGCAAATTACATGTTATAGTTGATATACCCCACTGAACGCTGTTCCACTCTCTTGGCATAAGAGCCTAAAACAAAAAAACGTAGAAAAGGTTAATACAAAAGACGAGAATGATTTTGTTTTGCAGAAGGCTTCTGTGCCAAATTATTCATTTTTTTTAGATTTCTTTTAACATTTTCTGATGCATCCCATATACCATATACAGATATGTATAAGCGTGTGCATGTGCATGTGTGTGTGGGCCGCATATTTATTTTTATTATTGGTTTTTAAGAACTTTAGTGTACTTAAACATAAACAAATGATAACTCTGTGTTTCTCTTCAATTAATAGTAAACAAATAGCCAACAGCAAAAACATACATGTATATGCACACATACATATGTGTGTGTGTGTGTGTACATTGGGGAAGGTCAGTTATTAGTTTGCGCGTCTCTATATATTTTTGCTTTTTGATAGACCTGTGATATTTATGGAGGGCCGCTCGTTTGAGACATTGAGTATAGTAAATAATCAAAAGTGCCAATGGATCAAGTGCAATCGCATGCAAATCGAAATGCACAAGTCGAATCAACTTTCGAGCTTTCCAATTGATTTCTCATTGATCAGCTGTGTTTCAATTGGCATTCACAAGGAAAACAAAACACTTAAAACATATTCGAAACGAATGGGAAGATGCGAGAGAAAAAAATCGAATGACCGCACTTCTGGTTGCTCAAGTAAAACGAAAACGAAATTGCAATTGAGCGAGCTTTATTTTTGAGAAAGATCGCAATTTGCTGTTTCCTTGAAAGTGGGCGCCACGGTAACGGGGTGGAAGGGTGCAGCACGTGATGCAAAGAGTGCAAATATACTGAAAGAATGCAGTCGGACGAGCCTCTCGCCCGCTGCGATGCAAAGCGATGTGAGGCGATCTGTGTGCTGCCGGCATATCATAGAAATCAGGTTTTCTTAAGACATTTTACGTTTATTTTATTGTTTGGCAATGCAGTCAAAGTAAAGTTGCTACTGTTGCTTGTGATTGCTTTTCATTTATTGCTTTTATGGCTAGAGAGCGTTCACACCTGCGCGACGATCGGCCACGAAATTTGAAAACACTTTCCCAAGTTCTGAGAGCTGCTGTCCAGACGCAAGCGCACCGCGTTGTTCGCCGTCCGAGTAACAAAAACGTACTGAAGAAGCCGCCGCCGCATCAGCAGCAGCAGCAACAGCACCAGCAGCAGCAGCAACGGGCGTCACCCGACCCCACAGCTCAGGCAGCTTCGTGAGTGCACGAATGGCCTGCGTGAGGCGTTCGCTTAACACTCGGCATGCATGTTGCTGGCAACATTTTAGATTGTTGCAAACCGGAGCTGGCAACAGGTTACTGCATGTTGCCAAGCACTGTGTTGTTTTTGGGTTGACAGCTGCAGTTGATAATAAGCCAATCGACGCAGCTGTCGCATCAGCTGCCTAAACGTAAATTGTTTTTTGTTTTTTGTTTTTTTTTTTTTTTTTCGTTTTAGTTTTTTCCTTCAGCGTGCACTTGATTTATAATAGAGTTGATAATTTTGTATTTAATTAATTGAATAAGCCAAAGTCAATTGAATTTCCCGTCAAAGCGATAAGATTTACTCGCCAGCTATCTCTCAAGCTGATGGCCCCGTCAATAATAAGCCAATAAGCCATAGACAATTGTTGCCAATAATAATTTCATTTTGCTCTGTTAAATATTTGTTGTCAATGTTTGCGTAACACAAACACCACCAACAGCAACAATAACAATAAGAACAGCAACAATAACAGGAACACCAGACATCAACGTCATTTAGCTTCAAGTGTCGAAATTTACACGTGTGTCCTTTTGTTTTCCTTGTCACGCTCATGTGTTGCCGTCTCGTTCTCACGCCTGCGCCTGTCAAGTGCCACGAGAAGTGGCCGCAGGTTTTTGCTTTTATAATACTCACAATTGCATCCAATAGGGTTGTATGAATAATTAGAGGCAGTAAAACAGTTTTGGTGTTGATAAAATAATGTTATTAAAAATTAAAAAAAAAAAAAAAAATCAATATTGATGTAAAATAATCATAAATCTACATTTAGTATATTAGAGCAGTATAGCTATTCCTTAGTCGATCAATATTAATTATTTGTGTTTGCTTTTGTTTGCATTTACTTAATATACAACATTCCGTCGAGTTGAGCTTTATTTGTTGTGTGCCAATTTGTCGCACTGTTTGTTTGTATTTGTTGTAAATATTAACTAAATTAGGCAGCGATTTCATTTGTGTTTTTATGACAGAGACATTTGTAAAGGTTCAGGGCCAGCCCCTGAATGTCAAGGCGTGCCAAAATGTCTATAACATAAATATAGATCATACAAATAATAGAATCGATAGGCCCGTTTTGTTGACGAATAGGACCTCAAGCACGGAGGAGTGACTTGCATTCGCCCTTTGTTCAATTGCTCAAGAGACTATTTACATTGAACGCTTGATGAGCACTTCATAAATTGATTTGAAATAATATTTATATACTTATTTAAATTATATAAATTATTTACTGAGAAGTCTTTAAGTAAATAGTTGAAAAACACACAATTCTCGTAATCACATTTTAGGAAGATTATTTATCTATCTTATCTCGAATAAGCTTCCGACTGAAATAGTTTATTACTTACATTTGGAATTGACATCTAATTTAGAGCATCGAATCCTAAAAATAAGACAGTGGTGTGGCCGGAAAGCTGGGAAATCCATAGAGGGCTTTATCGATAGTATCGATGGAACTCGTGAAGTGCGATAGATCGATGGAAGTTTTTCGATTTCGATCTACCGAAGTTGTAAGCCTTTATGAATGTTAAAATAATATTTATGTATACCAGCAAGTTATGCAGAATCAGAAAGTACATTTAGCGAAACAGGAGCGATTGCTTCGGACCGACGGTCGAGTTTAAGGTCAACTATAGTCAACACTTTGGTTTCTATGAACAAAAACCAATCAATAGACATATTGTAATGAATTTGTAATGAATATTCTTATATATCCCCTGTAGGACAAGTTTATTAATATTTCAATAAATCATCCTTATTATAGAGCTATGTCGATAGTTTTGTATCGTTCGGAAATATCCGGAGGCTTCTGTAATTATAAATGATCTGACAGTTACATAGATGGACGGACATACGGATATGGCTGAATCAATTGAATTCGTCCTCCTGATACAAATTACATACATACATCTTATTCACATATTCATAGTCAGTATTAAAAA